ATGTCATTAACAGAGCTTTATTTTGGAAGGAAAATGAAAAGTTCTGTTGATTTTGAGCTGCTCATGGGTCATCGTGCTAAAGTTAGATGATATGAGAATATCCTACCAAAGTTACAGATGTGAGAATAAAGAGGTTGTGGTTCAAGTTACAGATTTAGTAGCAAGTCACTTAACTTTCATATCGGCATTATTTTGGCTAAATAATCTGAAATTCCTCTGCCAGTAAACACCCAGACAATCATATGTAAAATTTCATATATGAACTCAAGATTTTCTGGGTGTTTACCGAGACTAGGTGTGTATATATATATATATATATATATATATATATATATATACATATATACACTTTTGTATTTATGTATATGTGTGTGTATATATATATACACTAGGTGTTTATATACATATACATATACATAGGTATACATGTACATATATATGATATATATACACATGGTATACATATGTATATAAGTGTATAGATGCATATATATATTAAAAACTATTTTAATTGCAAAGTTAGACTCCCAAATTAATAGGATCCAGAAACTATGAAGTAGAACCATGCGCATAAAACTGAGATCCTCAAATGGCTATGCCAAGACTGGTAGTTTCAATTTAAAAATTGTGCCCATAAGAGATGGAAACTACTAGGGAGCTTATGTTTCTTGTTGTTATTTCTGCATAGAAAAAAGTCTCCTCAAAGGTTTTATAACCACAGTAGTGGCCTCATACTACTTTGGGTTTGAAATGTATACCACCTATATGGTCCAGGATCCACAAGCCAAAAATTACTTAAAAAGTGAACCTAGGTTGGTTATACTTCTGGGACATCTAGTAGAATTAAACACATGAGAACCATAGTTATACACCCTCACCCAAGGTTACACCAGACTCCCTCAGATAAAGTCCAGCTGAAGATGTGTTGTACAAGGAAAGACTCCAATATGAGCAATAGTCACTGAGAGAGTGCATTGTTGATAGAAGGGGGGAGCAACAGCAGAATGGAGTAGAGTGAAGAGCATGGAATTGGACATGCACACAGGCAAAACCTCAGAAACAACATTGTCAATCAGTGCATAAATGGATGCAATTCACTAATCATGAACAACTGATTGTTATTACTACATTTCAGAAATCTAGATTATGTTTGTACCTCCCACTGTACACTAAAATCAATTAAAGGTGGTGAATTAAAGACCTATAACTGAGCAGCAAAACTTTTAGAAGATACTACGAGAATGTATTGCTGATCTTATCGTAGAAAGCAATTTCTTAAGTATGATATCCAAAGCACAAACCTAAAGGAAAAGATTGATAAAATTGACAAGATTCGAATGAAGATTTCTCTATAATGAGAGATGGCTTTAAAAATTGAAAAGACTGAAAGAATATGTTTGCAAACCCGCAGATCCTACAGAGGATTATTATCCAGAATATATGATGAAGTTCAACAACTCAACAGAAAAGACAAACAAACTAATTAGAAATTAAGCAAACTATATAAACAGAAAATTTAAGAAGAGAAAACCTAAATGGTCAGTAAAATATGGAAGGATGTTAGCCCATTTGATTTAATGCAGATTAAAATGGCAGTGAGATGTAGTTTGACACCTCCCACCCTGACCGCGGTTAGTGTGGAGTACAAATGGAGAGGTGAGGTGCCCTTGTACACTGCTGATGAGAATGTTAATTGTTGCATCACTTTGGAGGGCAATTCAGCTGATGCAGTGATACCGAATGCATTCATACCCTATGATCCCAATGCCACTCCTGGGCACATACCCAAGACACTAGAACCTAGAGAGACTTTTGCACAGGTACTCGACAAGTCATAGAAGTGAAAGGGTGCAGAGAGATTCAAGAAAAGCATCAAAGATGGGTCATTGCAGAAACTCTACATGAAGAAGAGAGGAAGGAGCGGGAGAAGAGCATCTGCAAAGATTGGAGGAGAGCTCAGAGAATATAGGTCAGTGCCGTCAAAGAGAATTTCAGTGAAGAGCGTTGGTCAGTTGTATCCAATACTACTAAATTGAAGGAGAATGATATCTTCAAAAGGGCTGTGGAATTTGTTCATTGGGAAATCATCAAGGAAAATTTTGAAATAGCTTTAAATGAAGTGATGAGGGCAGTACCACAAGGGAATAACCCAAGTGTATTGAGATAGGATAGGAGTCTAGAGTGGTAGTTTCAATGAGGTGACAGGCTTAAGAAAGCTAGAGAGATTATTCAATAAGTTTGGTTGTAAGAGAAAGGAGGAAAATAAGTTATTCTCCTGTGGATAGGGCAGGATCAAGGGAAAGATTGTTTTTTTTCTGGAGATGTGAGACTTGAGCTGTTTGTAAAGAAGCGGAGAGAATAAAGATGCAGTAGGGACAGAAGAATGTGATGGAGTGGGGTCCATATCTGTAAGATTTCATTTCTACTGCAGAAAAGATAAAAAAGGGTGTCCTTGTGTACTTTCAATGGGATTTTTTTCGTGTACATTCCAAAGTAAGAAGGCTTTGAGGAAAAGAAACACTAAAGGGTATACAAATGCTTAACAAGTATGATTTGAGGACCAGATTACACTTAAAAATATTAGAATATATATATTATATATATATATTGCTTTTAATTTCACTCATTTCAAGACTGTTTCTTTTGTTTCCTTTTGGTTTTCTGTTTGTTTGTTTTTAGTCAGGCAAGGAAATGGTTTCACTATAAGAACTTGGAAACTGATGGGTGGAACGTTTTCTGACTTTTCTTCATAAAAGTTTGGCAACAGTTCAGATTTACCTTGTGGAATGTATTCTATGAAACCATGATGTACTTTTATTCAGAACAAGGGTTTTGTTTGTTTTAAAAAATCTCTTTTCTCTTCCACTGTTGGGAGAAAGTCTGGGAAAAAATTCTATTTGTATTTTCTTCCCATGACATTTAAAAATTATAAATACACTCCAGTGGTCTTTCTTTTGACACAGACAGAGCTGGTTTACTCAGCTTCAACTTGGCTTCCTGCATCTCAGCTACTTCCTTCCCACAGCCCAACTTGTGCCCCCCAGACATCATTGTGGGGTCACCTAGCTCAGCCTTGGCTGGCCACATATCATATCTACTGACTCTCAACTCAGCACTCAAAACATAAAGGAGCTAAGAGTAACCCCAGAGAGCTTAGCTTCAAGGCTTCCCTCTGAAATCATATTGTAGCAACAACTTCAGACTGATATGCAGAAGTCTGGAAGAAATCCTCTTTCTAGAATCCCAAGGGGGATGTTAGGACCTGGCAGTGGCAGTATGAGCATCCTCCTGCTCTCTGTGTTACCCACGGATTTCTGAAGCTCCTCCTTCTTTCAGCCTGAAAATTTATGCCTTTGACTCTTTACTCTCCTCCTTCCCTCTCTCTGTCCTTCTCACCATATCCTAGTAGAAGTATCAGTCTTTTCCTTTTCTTGTCGTATATCATTTTCTATTAGTCATAGAAGAACAATTTCCATCCTCTTAACTGAAAGGAAGCCCCTCTATTCTAGGAGAGAAGAGTTTGATGTGAGTCCTCCAGGATTATTTCTGGATATGCTAATGGGGGTGTAAAGTATTATATCCTTTCTCTCTCAACAGTATGTAATTGTCAAGCTCATTGTCTCACTGCAAAATCTTATTTTGCTGCCAGAAGTGAAAAAGCTAAAAAGGAAAAAAAAAAAATCATACAGATTGCTAGTTCTACTCCCTAAATTCAATCTCCCTATCTTGCATTAGCAATAGAATTTTTAGCCAGGCACATTGCTGCTTAGCTAGACCACATTTCCAAGATTCCTTTGCGGCTAATTTTGGCCACAAGGTTAAGTCCTGGCCAAAGGAGTGTGCAGAGTGATGTGTAAAACTTCCAGATGGTGACCTTAAAGGAATGGATGAAATTCGCCTCTCTTTGGCCCTTCTTCCATTCTGCTTCCCCAAAGATGGATGCAACGTAAGCCACCTTTGAATGTGGCTAAGCATAACACCTTCATAAGGACCAAGAAACAAGATAAAAGGAGAAGGCTGCCCTTCTGGCCTTGTTCTCTTCATCCCACAGTTATATGAGAGAGAAATAAATTTCCATCTTACTTAAGATACTGTCATTTTTGGTTTGATTATAGGTTCTGCTATAGTAGCTAAACCTATATCCTAAAAAATATGTACATTGATAACTTTCAAAACATTCACCTCAATTAAATTAAGATGGAGTAATAATATTTGAAATCTACAAGGGTTCTCAAAATATAAGTCATGCAGCCCAGCTGAATAAATGAGTTGTGAATCAAATGAAGTAACTGGATATAAATAGAAATATTCTTGAACCTTTAAATTACTTAAAAATTAAAGTAACTGTACAAGCTCATTTAACTTGATAACCTGGAAGCCAGACTTATCAAAAATCCTTTTTTGTTACATTATTTTTAGTAAGCATGAATTTGAATGCCTATTCTTACATTGCTAATTCGGGTTGATTCAATGATGAAGAACCTATCTGGGGACAATCAAACAAAAAAAGTGATAATAGAAATAGAAGAAGCTTTTGCTGGTATGACTAATGGGTGAGATTGCCTTTGATTATTAAGAGCCAAGTATTAGAATAGCAGTTTCTGTGCTTTAGATGTTGATAAAAACAAATTAACCTCAAATTACTTCAGTGAAAAGTTCGAAATAAAATCTCGCCCTCTTGTATTTATTACTTTATGGATGGTGGTGCAGAAGTTAGGCATACAGGAGAGCTATTGTTTCATTTGTAAAATTATATCCATTTTTGAGATCATGGTCACAAATAAATGGAAGAAAAATGGTGTCTGCGTTCCAAAGCGTTCTCAGGCTCATCCCTGGAGAGTTAACTGGATGCAATGTATTGTCAGAAAGCTCTGGGGGCTACTTGTTCAAGTTGTGCTGCCGTACTGATTAGAAGATGTTTACAGAGTTTTAAGAAGCTCTCCCTTGAAAGGATCATTTCCCCAGATCCTACAGGAAAAGATTCTTTCAAGGCTGAGGTCATCCTGTGCCACTACATGCCTGAAGCTTTAGAGCTGAACGTTTCCAAAGACAGATGACCTTGTCATCTTTGGCTATTTATGTCTGGTCATGTGGTGGTGTGTGGAATACTCGCCCTCTCCGCCTTCTCTCTCGGCACTGCATGATCCTTGAGGATGGTGATTCTAACTTGTCCTGTTAACAGTATGCCTCTCCATCTACGAGAAGGTAAAATGTTTTCTTATTCCAACCACTTCCATTCCAAACTTCTATCCTTAATATTACCTAGACTTATTCTAGAGATTTTAAACTTGTGGTAACAAGTATAGAGATGTTTTGCGACTTGCCCAAAAGCTAGGGAAAGAAGATGTAAAAGCACCATGTGTACTTTTCATCTAATGGCTTCCCTTTATTCTAGATAAAGCCCAACATCCTCACTGTGTATGACATGGCCCTGAATGACCTACGTCCTTTCCGGTCTTGCATCACTGCTTCACTTTCTCATTACACTTCTGCCTTACCAACCATCTTTCACTTCCCTGCTTCCCATCCTTACATGTGCTGCTCCAATGCTCCTGTCCACCCCATCTTCCCTTACGTCCATTCAGGACCCATCTCAGGTCCCATCTTAAGGGCAGTTTTTTGTGCTCCCCCATCCCAGGTGGGCACTACTGTTATTCATTTTCATAGCATTCTGTGCTTTTCCCTTGTATTTTAATTATAATTAATTATTTTAATGATTATTGGCTCAACTTCTTTGCCTCCACTAGACTGGAAGTTCCGGAAATGCAGAGACCCCCATGTGTGTATTTTGCTACTGTATCTCTGCTGTATAGTAGTGATGTGGTGGATGTTTTGAATGAATGAATGAATGAATGTCTTCTAGGGTTCACTAAACCTAGGATTTCTATAGATTTCTTATGGATCTATGATGTGCTGGAAATTCAGAGTTGAGAAGGATAGTCCAATGCCCAAGGACCATATATTTTTTTCAGTTTTTAACTCAATATCTTACTTTGAACCCAACTAAACTTTTGGATTTAGAATTCACCTGTTGGGAGGTCATTTTAGTAATCCATGTATGGGGGGGGGACACGTGCCTGATATACAGAAGCAGCCATTGGCATGTAATGGAAGGCAAGTTGTTAATGTTTAAGAAAAGACAAGATTTGTTAACTGATTTGCAATGGGAGTTGAAATTACATGAGGGGAGATAAGGGTGGAGGCAAGATCAGGAAGAAGAAGGAAGAGGATCTGGATTTAGAAAAGGAAATAGGATGAGGGAAAGAGGCAGGAGAAGCAACAGAAAACTTAGCCGCATGGAAAACAGAGATCAATCGATGAATATGCTAAAGCAACTCCGTCTGCCTGTGGAGAACTTCAGGAAAGTGGATTTGGTACATTAGTGGGCATGGAGCGAGACCACAGAGACTGAAGACAGAAAAGAAGGAATAGTCAGAGAAACTGCAGGCCACCCATTGGAGATTTCACCGTGAACGGAAGGGGAGAGAAACGACTAGGTGCCTTCCACATACAGACCCCATGACTCTGTGAAATTATGTGGTGACTATGACCTTTCTTTGGGATCATTTTTATGGTGTGTGACTAGCAAAAGGAAATAATAAACCCTGGTGGAAATCTTTTCAGGATTTTTCAGAGACCTACCCATGTTTCAAGGCAGAGGGAACGGAGCCAGTGCAAAGAAAAAGAGAACGGAGCTAGGGAACCGGCCTTGAAGAAGAGAGGGATGGTACTTGAGAGGTAAGAAGGAGAGGCGACCCAGAGCACTAGGGTCATCTAATCTGGAGAGGCTTTCTCCTTGAGTGGGGAAGGAAGACCGGGCACTCTTCCCCAGGCCACTGTGTAAAAACACTGACTTACCACACCTGTGCTTTAACAAATATTCACATAATTCTGTGCTAATTTGCCTTCCCCTATTAGAATGGAGTCCCCATTCAGGTCCCCAGGCCATGCCTATCTCACTCACCAGCCAGAGTCTCTAGGAACAAAGCGAAGGGGAGCATGACGTAGGAGAAGCAGGTGAGTGACGTCCCACCTTCATGACAGGGGACATGAAAAATACTTGAGATTAGAGAGCAATGGAAATGATCGTTAATTTCCCATGGGTGTGGGAGAAGAGCAGAAGGTTTTGCTAATTATTGACGAAGCACTCTCTGGTCTTCAGGGCACCCTGACTCTGAATGCTTCATTCTGGGAAGCTTCTTAGAAGAGAAGAGATGAACAGAGCAGAGCAGAGAAGAGAAAGGAAGAGAAGAGCTGAACAGAGCAGAGCAGAGCAGAGCAGAGAAGAGCAGAGCATATTACTTAACTGTGACCCTGAAAGTAAATCAGCATGCTGAGGATGTTCAGTCTGCTTGACATTTTGAGAAATAATGTTTTAAGAGAATCCTTCGCAATTTTGTGAAAGAGGACAGAAGAGGCAAGTTGTGAGAATGTAAAAATCTGTACAGATTGCCAATGTCCTAACATCTTTGTGATAAAGAGACATTATATTCATGAGGAAGGTGAGTGAGGGAAAAGATGGATTTAAAGATGATTTCTGGCTTTTGTGAACAAATCATATTTCTTATTCACTAAGGCTTGAAATGGCTCTCAGTTGTTAATAACTCCTTTCATGCCATATATCCCAAGATACTTCTCAAAACTGTAAGATTGCCACTCGGTTATACACAAATAGGTTAAACTTTTTTTTTTACAAGTTTGAATCTAAATGATGAAAATTGACGTTTCATCTTGCAAAAGAAAATGAATTGCAGATCTCCTAAATAAAAACTTACAAACAAAATGCAAACGTCTTTGAATCTGAAAGCCTACCAGTGAATAACATTGGGGCTTTGCCAGGGGTAGACTTTGAAGCATTCTGTAAAGCTTTAATAGAAAAGAGTGTCTTTGAAAGCTAAGGAAGTTGTAGCACTAAATATTTTAGTGGTGATTTATGGACAATGTTAAGAAATATGCCTTTCCTTTAATAAAAAAAAGTCCTGACACTTAGTAAAATGATGAGGATTTATGTGCTAAAAGGTTTTGCATGGCAGCTTCTGGGTAATAGATTCATAAATATTTCCCTTTTTTAATTTAAAAGTCAAAGTGAATTAGAAAAAAGAGCCAAATTAAAGGTACCCAGTCAAATAGAGAAGATGAACTTTGGGTTTTACCTGACCTCACAGTCTTGGAGCCCTGTACCTAGTTGCCTCATCAAAGGTAGCCAGAGATGACCTTCTAGAAGTTTCTCTCTCGCTCACACACATGCATGTATGCACCCGTGAGCTTGCACACAAACAGAATACACCAACATTAAACACGTTTACTGTGTGAAGTTTACTTTAAACCCTGCTTCTCTGACCACTTTCCATTTACGTTATCACTATTATTAGTCTTGTACAATATGATGTGCCCACAGTAAGAACTTAATTTAAAACTGATACATAAAGTGTGGATTATGCATGAAAAGAGTTAAGAAATAGTAGCCGTGACCTGCTTGAAGAAATGACAAAAAACAACAGGATGGCCATGGTCCTTTGGTCAGAATGCTGGCTCCCAGTCACTTGGACACTTTTGTGTTTCCTGATTCAATTCAGCCCAGATGCTCTAAGTTCTTCTTTCCTTTTTACTTCTGTGGCGGTGGGTGTTGCTGGGGACTGACGAGGGCAAGGAGAGTGAATGAAACAGAAGAAAAGTTGGCCACACAAATACAATACCAGGGACAGGGCACTAGCACATTGGGCGGAGGGAATGAGAAGTTGCTCAAGCCACACAAAGCAACTCTTGTTCCCATAGAAACCAGTGTTTAGTTGAATGAGTAGCTTGACTCTGCTAGCCCCTTCCTCTTTCTTTTTAAATCTCTGTTGGAGATGCATTGTCTTCCGGTTACTTTTGTTTTAATAAAAACAAAGACTCTGAAAAGAAAATGCTCCCCACCACAAAGCAGCTTGCTTTACAAGCTAATGACATATATTCCGGGTTGGTTTGAAATCTGGCTGGATCTTCCCGGATCTGAGATCTGGTACCTTTTCTTCAAGCAGTGTACTGACGGGCCACCAAGAACTGTGCCAGGCTGCGATTGGCAGACTAATTTGAATACCAATGCTACTCTGGGCTGGCTTCCAGTTCCAGGGCGGGAGGCAGGCAGGGCTGCGATGGCGCTCAAGATGCAATAGTGGTTTCTGGGGAGAGGGAAGGAGTTCTCCTACAGTGAGGAGCTTCCTTCCTTCTCTTACTCCCAGGCCCCTTCTTTGCTGGGTTATTGGCAAGTCTACTTTCTATTCTTCAAGGATTAATGCCTCAGTGCAAGGGGAAAATTGGCAATTAAAAAACCCCCCAACACTCAAAGCCTGGGATTTCTGTAGCTTTATCATTTTCCAGTTAGATTTCATTAGGATGCTGCTGAAGAGAGAGGTTTGGGGCTTCTGTTGTGTTGTTAGAGTTTAAAACGAGTAACAGGATGTTTTTACCTTTACTAGAAAAAAAGACAGGCAACCTTTTGTGCTAATGGAGCTTAGCAACCATCTATAAACAGGGGAACTTTCTAATGGGAAAGTGAATTACTGTAATAGCCTCTAACAAAATAATCTGCCTGTAAAAAATAAGATTTTAGGTTCCTGTGAGAACTGCTGAATTTAAGCTATTTGTTCCTTTTCTCATATTTGAAATATTTAAAAATCAGAGATTATATGCACTTAGAAAGTTTCTTTGATACCCTCTCCCCTTAAAAAATGTTTTAAACATAAGATGTTAAAGATTTGCATCTTTGATTGTGAAATATCTTGTTTGAGTAATTTCCCTGCCTCTGAGATTCTCATTAATAGATTGAAGTGTGGATTTATCTGGTACAAAAGTGACTGGGAAGTATTCTGTCTCTTCATCACTAGCAAGCAAAGGCAGTTTTGGGAAGAGCCAGCCCCGGGCATGATTTCCCTCCAGTGGCCTCACACATACTCATTTTGTTGCTCCCCAAACCCACCTGCTGCTTGCATTTGTGATTTGGGTGGCATGATGCCAGTGACACCAGACAGGCAAGGATATTGTCACAGTCTCCAGGGTAGATATAAATTGTCATCATCAGTGAATATTTATTAGGTGTTCGTGGGTATAGGGTATCCTGCTGGGAGCAATTGGGGTGAGACAAGGAAACAGAGATAAAGCAAATTCATTCTTGAGGGACAAGATGTCTCCTGCTAGTGATCATCAGCATGTCAGTTTTCTTTCTTGGTAACTGTAAAAACTGTGGCCCCAAGTTTTCTTTCCAATATTCTGACACGTTGACAAAAGGCCTGCGTTTTTGTTACAGAGCAAGAGTTCTTTTCTTTATAGAATATTTTTGATGTTTATATATGGAAAGAGTATTTTGGTCATTATACATTAAACCCAGTGCATTATAAACTCAAAATCTCAGGGAAGATTTCTCGTTCAGAACTAACCACAAAAAAAGTATTGTCAGAACGAATCAAATTGCACAGCTGAGTTTTTTATTTCTATACTAGTCATAAAAAGTGACCTTAGCAAGTTTTGAAAACATTTCTGGAAAGAAGAAAGCTAAAAGGAAACGCTAGGTATCTGATGACACCGTTTGAATGTGGCCATCTGAGGAACTATTTATGTTCGTTTCTTTCAGGCGTGCCTGTAGATTTTCTCTTTATCCAGCCTGTAAAATTAACGGCTTATTAGAGAGGGAAAAGTTCACACTCAGAATCTAAATCTTTAGCCCAATTAATAGACACACTGGGGGCACCAGATCAACTTGCATTTACATTTAAGCAGCAGGTCCTTACACATCCTCATCTCAGCACAGACGAGGCTCCTCAGGGCTGGAAGAGGCATGTGAGTTATTGGATGAACTGAAATTAGCAAGACGAGTCAAACCAGTCTTTTCCAACCCCAATTATCCAGTGGCCCAGAGTACTAAGTAAATACAGAGGAAGGAGCTAAGGGAGGCAGGGACTTGCTGAAGAGGGTTCAGAAAGAGGAAAGGGCTCGTGGAGGTACAATTCTGGTTGCCATCTGGGCTGTGGATGGGAATGCTATCACTAACTGATCGTCTGTATATCACAAGTTCACCTTCCACACGTCTCCACTAACATGCCTTTACCATGCAAGCCTTCTACAGATGGAGCCAAAACTTGCTGTTTTGCATACGTTTATTTTCTTCGTCCAATGATTGCAGTGCCTGAGGTGCAGGGTTCGATAACGTTTGCTAAGTAAAACAAAGATTCCCACTTTCAGTTTTTTGGTAGACTACTAAGATTAGGCTCTCCATTTAGTTTCACTTTTTCTGATTTGACTTTTAATAAAGGCTTGTCCGGGTAGAGTCATACTCTCTGTGTGTTTTGAGGCTGGGTCTTGGGGTTTGAGCGAACCGAGAATAAATAATGAAGTGAGTCCTGTAGAGCCTGTAAGCACAGGCAGTGGAACTGGAGTTTCACTCCAAGGTGCGTGGCCAGGCTGGGGTTGTTGCTTAATCTCTCAGCTTCCTGAGGCCTTGGGATTGTGCAAACCTTTGGATCCAACTTGCTCTCATTCGGCAGCTTTATTTCCAACTGCCGCTCAGCGAAGGCAGCCTTCCCAGGGGCTTTGTTCACGAACATAGTTTTACAGCCACAAAAGATGCTATGAGAACCAAAAGTTCTAGAGGGGAAACGGCACTTTCTTTTCTTCCCAGTCGAGTTCTTAAAGTCGCAACTGTTTTCTCCAGCAGACACATATTCACAGGGGTCCTGCTTCAGAGAATGCCTCCTTCTTTCAGTGTGAGGTTTTGAATTACCCACCTATCAAGACATTTGCTGAAGTTTAAGAGCTCAAAATCCTCATTTAGGATTCTTTCCAGCAGCAATATCACACACCCTTCCTTTGTGCGTTATCCAATTCAGAAGTACACGTGGTGCTTTTAAACTGTGTCAAGATATCATAATGTGAAACCAAGAAATATTACTCTGGCCTTGAAATATAGGCTTACTTAAATTATGAAGTGTTGGAAATATGAGCCTGTTGTCCCAGGTCTGTTTTCTCTTTAACTTTTGCTCCTGTTTCCTCCTTTCAGTTTTAAACATCCCTTCATATGACGCAAAGGCTGCCTTTCTATGAACACGAAGATCATGTAATTGTAGTACAATTCCAGCGCCTTTTTTCCTCTGGGAATTCTGCTGCCTCAATTAACCGGACTTCAGTGAGTATGGATAACGGGTTGGTTTGTTATGTGGGTAAATAGATATTCATTTGTGCGCGGTTAGCTGCTCAGAATCTGTCAGTGGAAGTTTCCGTTGGCAACAGAATATGTAAGATACGAAGATGTAACACATCAAAAATCTTCATAATTCCAGTTGCCACATCCACAACAGGGAGCAGACCCTCCTAATTTTACCTCTCCTCCACCAGCGCGTGGCATTGTTGACCATGTCACCACCTACCCCTAAATTTCTAACATGGCTCTGACACACCTCCTCCTTTGAGGACTTCCCTGCTCATGACCGGGTTTGGTTGGTGGATGACGTATGTACATTTCAGTGAATGAGAAGCACCAGTGGACTCAGTCTAAGTCACTGATTATATACTGATTCATTTGCTGATCAGTTTCAGCATATGAAACATTGATTTATCCTCTGAAAAGGGAAATAAGATACGTTCGGGCTTGCAAATTGCTTATAGTCCACCAAGGCTCATAAAAGGGTAATTGATGTTAATATCATAATTGCAGTAATGGATATATATGTTCAAAGTGCTACGGAAACACAGAAATGTTAGCTATGGATGTGGCTGTTGAGAAAACCTGGAAAAAGGATGAAGGAGCTTTTACTATCAAAATAAAAGGAAAGTATTGGTAAGTTTCAGTGGAGGGAGAAGATAGGGTTGCATGATGACTTTTGTGGGTCCTTTATTCCATAAAAAGAAGATACATATTGGGGCTGTCCCAGCAGCTGAGTGGTGAAGTTCACATGCTTCACTTTGGCGGCTCGAGGCTCTCAGGTTTAGATCCCAGGCGCGGACCTACACACCGCTCACCAACCCATGATGTGGCAGCATCCCACACACAGAATAGAGGAAGATTGGCACAGACGTTAGCTCAGGGACAATCTTCCTCACCAAAATATATATATATATGTTAATATTGTTTATTAACACATTTTATTTGACCTAAAAATTCAATTTTTCTTCTGATTTTAAAAGAACTTAAAACCTTTCACAAGGCCCTAAAAGTATTAAGTCCTTGGCACAATGTTCACATTGTCCTGGGAGAAGAAAAAGGGAGGGGGAAAAAGAGAAAGAGAAGAACCAAGCTGTAGGGCAAGGACAAGGAAAAATATTCTAGAAGCAGGAAAGTAGCTGTGAGAGAAGTGGAGGTCAGAAAGGAAATGATAAAATAAGTTCAACAAAAAAATAGAATAGAGGCTGGCCTGGTGGCATAGTGGTTAAGTTCATGCACTCTGCTTTGGCAGCCTGGGGTTTGTGGGTTTAGATCCTGGGCACGGACCTAAGCACACAACTCATTGGGCCATACTGTGGCAGTGTCCCTCATACAAAATAGAGGAAGGTTGGCATGGATGTTAGCTCAGGGCCAATCTTCCTCACAAAAAAAAAAAAAAGAATAAAACTAAGAAAGTGAGATTAGACAGAGAATGGTCCTGGAGAAAAACAAAATGGAAAAGTCTTCCAGAAGCTCTTTCCTTGAGTGCTACAGTTTGTCTTTCCCCATATGGGTAGCTAATGGGCTCCAGTTGTGACAGGCACTGGTAGGGGTGAGGCCTTGCAGGACAGGTAGGTATGGGTTGGTTGGAGACCCAAGGGGAGTTCACCAGATGAGACAGATATCAAGAAACCAGGCCTGCCGGAAGAGGCTTTTTCTGTGTATAAATAAAAATAATCTAGTTTTTCTTCTACAAATGGAGTCCTGATACAAGAAAGAAAATGATAGAACCGTGTTAGAAAAGCATTACACTTAAGATGGGTCATTTACGCCTTTATATTTATCTACATCTCATTAGATTTTCACATTGGACTTCATTACTTGTATTTTGATGCTGCTTCTATTGCTTATCTAAAAAAGCCTTTCATAGTTATAACAGATTTCATGTACTTATTTATTTTAAATTCACAATAATCCCATGAGGAAGACATCACCATTCTCATTTTGTACATTAGGAGCCAGGCTCAGAGTTTGTGACTTTCCCAAGGTCACATAGTTACATCATTTTGGAGGGGTTACATCACTAGAGGTGTGTGTGTGTGTGTGTGTGTGTTTACTTGGCACTGTCGTTTTATGGAACATTAAACATAAAGGAGAACTGATGTCACACTGATTCAGATATCCTTTTACACTTTTTCCCATTTTTTCTCCTGTAGTTACTTACACATTCCCAAATCTGCCTACCATTTTCATCCTTCTCTTTAATGAAAACATCGTACCCATCACTGATTTGACCTTGTTGACATCATAAGTACAGAACCATGAGTATGCTGTTATTCCTTGAGAACCTAGGCATAAAATTTGGCATAGCAAATGTTTGTGTTTATAAAGTTTTTCTAACACAGCTTGGGATTTTCATGTTTCTGTTGATGACATGCAAATTGTTTCCCTTAGCATGCAGAAAATCCAAATGTAATTTAGGAAGCATTTCTTAGAAACATCCAAATGTACTGAAGGTTGTCACATTCAATGCATAACTTGGCAAGTTTTATTTTTTTCTCCTGTAAAATATAATCTTCAAGGCATTGAGTGCTCAGGAAAGATTTTTATGCCTTGGAGCTGAGGAGTTTTGCAAAGAGATTAGACCTCAACGGGTGGAAAGCTATTTCCCTTGGCTTCTCTCTGCTTCATGCCCAAGGAGAGTCCCATGAGTAGTTGTCATGCACTTGCTTCGAATCAGTGAGAGATCAGAGGGAGACGTGAAATGGTTATTGTTGACTCATTACCCTACAGGAAAGCAGTAGATTCCAACCACACCCAACTGTCAGCGGCTAGTAACAGAAACAGGGCTACGTCAACCCTGACCCTCTTCCTTAGGTCTAGCTTGACGGAGCCCCAGAAAGGTTCAACGGACTAAGATTAACTTGGAATTTCAGTAAATCTTAGCTTCGGTGTGCTAATGTTTTCTCATGTAAAAAACTGAGCCCGACAACAATGTCTATGCTATGAATTTTGCAAATAAACATTTCTGTAATGCAAGTCTTGTTGATATATCCTCCTGCTTACAGAAAGGAAGTTGAGAGTTCAGGGCCCTTTGAAAAAATATACAACATCTCTGGGTCCGTCATTTAATAGAATGGCTGCTAACTCACTGGGTGATTCTAAACTCGCATCTGTATTTTCAAGTCTGCAAAATGGAAAGTCACTAAATTTAAATAATCAAACTTGCAAAGCTCCATTTATTCAATTAACAATTACTGACTGGATCCTCACTGTCAGTGTGATGCTGGATACAGAAAGCAATAAGAACTTGCCCCACCCTCAAAAGCCCTCAGTCTAACTGGAGACAAATACATGATAGCAATAATAAAAATATAATATATTCTAAACTTTAATACAATATGATACCTTCTAAACTCTGTGTACACTTTCTGTACAAGTAAAATGCTCTTGAAGCAAGGAAGAGAGAGAATTAATCCTACCCAAAGCACCAAATTGAGGAGGTGACATTTGGAAGTAATCAATAGACAGGTGATTTGTACAGAAGGTGGAAGAGAGCTTTCCAAGGAAATGGAATGGGCAGGGACAAGGGTAGGGGCATGGTATCTTTGGGGGACTTCTAGGACTCTAGTGAGCGTGGAGCAAAACATGGCGTGTAGTTCGTGAGAGTGGAATGGTAGATTGGGGCCAGCTGGTAAAATACTTTCACCGTTGTATTTCCATCTGTGGACCGGATGCTGGAGCCATCTGAGGTGTTTAAGTAAGAAAGTAGAATGATCAGAGTGGCCATTTCGGAAATATATCCATGGCAGCACAATGGAACAGGGTTGGAAGGGAATAATGTTGAGTCTGGGAGGCTGGTTTGGAGGCTATTGTATTTGTGACACATTTTCACCGTCACAACCAGAAAACTTTGTATATAGTACCAAATCGACTCCACGAGATCAGATCCTTGTAGTCTAGCCACATACTCTGCCAAACCGGCCACTCCTCTCCAGTCCACTGTACATTCCCTCCCACTAGCACATAAAACAAAATCCATGGTCCTTTACCATTTCTGTAATTCCCCAAGGAGCTGGGTTGGAAGAATCATATCTAGACCTTATTCTCAGGTCATATGTGTTCACGTTAATCCTAGAAATCATGCAGACCCTTCTGGTTTTGCTGACTTCCTTGCTGTGGTCTGGGACACACATTCACTCTTATGAAAGTTTTAGCCTAGATCAAGTGAACCTATGCTAAATTTTACAGCGGTCACTGATTTCTCAACCTGTCCGTCAACTCCCAACGCACATTCTCCACACACACCAAAAAGAGGTTATTACCAGTGATCTTTTAATTCTGTTTTTGGTTTATTTGAATATTCAGGATTTTGTGGTTGGTTTGTAGTGTTAAACAGCAACAAAGCATCATCAGCCATGAGTTGACAGTTTGGGTATTTTTTTCCCCTTCTGAATTGTGTTCAACAAATTACATTTACATAAAATTGTCAGGCATTCAGAAATGTTTAACCAAAAAGAAAGCTACTACTGCAGCATCCAGCTTCTTGTCAACACATATGGTCAGTGATATTCCATTTGTTGAGATGTTTTCATCTCCTAATGAGTCTTTAAGGATGTGCAATTTGCTTTATTTGCTTAAGAAAGAGGGAGAGAAAAGGCCCAAATGGGCAAAGCTCCTTGTGTTGGATTTATTTTTTACCAGGTAAATACCGAGGGGAACAATGTCCTTACAGCTGATTCCAGCACGAATTATCTCTAGCACTTGTTGCCCCTTTCCATTGGTGATTGCTTAGACGTGAAGCAACTCAATAGTTGCTTGTCTCTTGATATTTCTTTTTCATTTGTTCTTTCCTTAATATTTTTGCAGGCTATTGGAAAATTCTTTAGCTAAGTTGGTATGACTGGACTCCTTGGATCTCCTTCCCTTCGTATTTTTACTGTTGTTTCAAATTTTAGATAAATTCACAATGAACAGAACAATGATGTTTCTCAAAAACCCCTCACCCAATTATCTAATCGTAATGTTCGTCTTTAAATGTGTGTCTAGTTTTTTCAGTCCCTGATTTCTTTTGTTTCCGTTGAAAATGTTCTTCATATTTAATTACCTTCACTAATTCCTCAGTGCTTAGGTTGTTACATGCTTTATTTTGGATTTTTATAGAGTTCAACTTGCCCTTTTTTATGACTGATTTTCCATTTTCTGGGAGTTATCGAGTACTGCACGTCGATTATGCAAAATCTTTTGAGCGCTATCACATTTATATTTTATTCTAAATGACATTGTTAAAATTAGCAAAATTGGTCTATATCTGTAACTTACAGTCAAATTGAAAAAAGAGCATAGCACTTTGGCATGTTCAGAATATTTACAGCCCTAGAGATTTCTTCCAAGCACAAAATGTGTTCGAGAGCACAGGACAGCCTCAGAGGCACAAAGATAAAAATAACTGAATTATTTCCATTCACTCTTCTGTTTGAAGTATAATGAAATAAACCCAGAAATAAAATGAATAGTAAAATGATGAATTGGGAATTGAAATTTTTTCAGTTTTCCTCCTTAAGATGCTCATCATTTGGAGGCGGTTTATTGGTAAATTTCCATGTCAGCAATAACTCTTGATTAAAACTAAAAAAGAAAATATAATGTACAGGTTTTACCAGCCAAACGAATTGTTTGATATTGTACTTTAGAACCACTATGAGTATCTTTCTTAGTAGTGCATCTTTTTTTACCCTCATCTTTGATTTTCAGCAGGCTACACATAAAATCACACAAAATCCATAAGAAACATAAATGCTTTGAAGTTCATTGGGCCAAACATCAAAATGCCGTTTAGATATCTGATTTAAACAAATTTTAACTTATAATAAAGAGA